AGGGTGGCAGCAGTCCACTTCCCAAGTTTCTGACTTGAATCATGAATCTGGCACCTCTGGGACCTTGTGGAACCTAGGGATCTCAGTGACACATGAAGGGCAAACCCAGAGTGAGTGTGCACCAGCCCTGTCAAGCAGGACACGTCCCAGAGGTTGTCTTCTCCTAAGGAATTCATCTGCTTGTGAGGTCAAAGAATAGCCAGATAAAAACTTGGAAAAGCTTTTGTGAAGCAAATTTGTGTTCAGAAGAAGGCCCCCACTCCGGGGAGCCAGCGGCATGAGGTAAGCATGTTTCCCACATGGGGTTTGTGGATGTCACAAGAAGCCCTGTGCAGTAGACACCATGGTAAAGACATCTGTCCAGATCCCTGGACCAACAGAAACTGCTAGACCAGCATGACAGCATGTGGACTTGGGCTCACACCCAACGCCTGAGCTTAGGGCAGCCACCTCAGGATCAGGCCACCCAACTCCAGGAGGCAGTGGCTGACTGGCATGTGGGGACAGCTGCTCAGGCTTCCTGTATCAGGTCAGGACAAATCCATGGTGCATTTTCCACTTCAGCATCCCAGGGACCACACAGAGACTCACCTTGACTAGAGCCACAGGTCAACTGCCACTTCTCCTGAGTCCCTCACTCCCCTGCTAATCTTGTGCCCCTAGATCTTTCTCAAATGGGAAGGGGAACAAGAGACAGAGGAAGATGAAGAAAAGGGGATGAACAAAGGAATTAAGAAGTGTTGTATATGTGTACCTACTCCTTGCAAGGAATGTAAACATTACTACTGCAATTGGGCACTACTAAAAAAAGGGGGGCCACGCTCACCCTAATGTCATGTTAACTCTCAGGGCCATGGCTTAATCCTTCGTCCCTCATGCAGCCCACTCTGCCCTCCATAGGGTTTGACTTGTTTTCTTTTTCTTCAAGCCACTAACACAGCCTTCTTGAATGTGCTTCCTAAGTCCACTTCAGTACTGCAAAAAGAAAGATCACTTTTGTAATCAGAACAAATTACGCTCAATGCCCTGAACTGACATTGTTTCTGTCATAGCACCTACAGGTGCTTCCCTGGTCCTCCCTGGAAGGGAACATTGCACTGCTGTGTTTGTCTAGATGGGTGCAGTAGGCAAAGCCGGGAGTTGAGTTAGGAATCTCTGAAACTCATGAAGGAAGGAGCAGAACTTGAGGCATGTAGTAGAAACCAGGAACCAAGAGGGAACCTAGGGAGGAACACGGTTTCTTGGTCTTTTCCTGGTCCTCTCGGGATGTAATGCATTGCCATTGTCCTCAGCTGGCCAGTGTTGGAGAGAGTTCCCATGGGGAAGTAGTCCAGGAGCTAGGACGGAGGGGCCTGGTCCCTCTCTCCAAGACAGAGTGGGTGGGACCCAACAGCCAGATCAGCTCTCCTAGTCTTGAATATTCCCATACCCTGACCTCTCCCCATGCCAAACCCTTGGCAACATCAAACATTTGGGCCAGGCTTCAGGAGAGGTATAAAGAGTGGGAGGGAAGCAGGAGGGTGGCTGCGGGAAGGCTCAGTCTCTGTGTGGGCGGAGATGTAAAGGAATGTGCCTGTGGGGTAGCGAGGCCAGGAATCTAGCGCCACCTCTGAGGTCCAGCAGGCCTCTTGGTGGAGTCTATGCCCTGTGGCCTTTCCTATCCCAGCTCACAGGAAGGGATTTAGCCACATAGGTAAGACTGCCTGACCCACCAGGGTAAACAGGAATGCAGAACTTCCACAGGCTACTGGAGATGTTTTTATTTTTCTCTCTCTAGACCACTTCCACTTTGAGGAGTGGCCTGGCTCAAAGGTACCTGCTGGAGAGAGAGGCTTCCTGCCTGTTGGTTCAGAATCAGAACGAGCAGGAAGTCCTCAGAGTGGAGTCTACATCCCAGCAAAGCCCCAGCTCTGGAGGTGCCCTCAGTGCCTTATTGAGCTGCAGACAGGGCCCCCAATTCGACACAGCTGCCACTGCACCAGCATAATATTTCTTTGAATTCTCCATTTCATGTTGAATATTCATGGGGGTTTTGCAATCAACTCCATGCTACATCATGGCTGGTTTTAGAATATGAATGATCTAAGAAGGGCAGTCAACTTGCTAAGAATACGTGGTGTTTTAAACTTTCTGCTTCAGTTTGCTTATTTGTAAAATGGGAAGGAAAATAATACCCACCTCAGAGGCTGTTGTGTTGACTAAATCACTTGATACAGGTTAAATGCCTGGAAGAGTGTCTGGTGAGTAGTGAACACTTCAAAATGTTACCATGTCCATTTCTGTACTGATGCATCTACCACCTTGACAAGCACATCTCATCAATTCTCATTATTGGCAGATTTCCTGTTTTTGAATTAGCTTATCACAAGTACCTGCAGCACACAAAAATAAGATACTGTGTTGCTTGGTTGACAAAAATGTTAAGAGCAGAGGCTGTGGGAACGTAATTCTATTTCCTCTAGGTGAGCGTACTCTCATTGTTTGTACAACTCTTGAGTAGCTAGCCGGCATCCTAATGAGAATCCCGGTACATAGGTGCTTTGGGCAAGCTCCGGCGGGTACTGGCCAATCCCCCTCCTACTGCCACTGCATCCTACACACTGACCTGTTCTCTGGTCTTTTCACAAGTTTCCAGCCAATTAATTCATCTGGAGGGGAGAGGGTTTTGGAGACCTCTTGGCCAGTGGAAGCCATCAGAGGAAGAGAAAGGTCAGGAGGAGCCAGTGCGGGAGGTAGTAAGGGCTCTCCTGTTGGAGGATGCTCAGAGCATCTGGATGATCCCCTGGGAGGGGGTGCAGACTCCAGAGAGAAGCAGACTCAGAGTCCAGTCCTGGCCTCTCCATTCACCCTGGGCAAGTTATCCACAGAGGAGCCTGGGATTGACATGGGACAACAGTACTACCCACTGCCGTGAGGTGATACACGCATTGCCATAGCAACAGGAGCATCAGGAAGCCCTGGCCGCAGTGGCACGAGTCTTGGAGGCTTGAGGCCTCGGATCGCACCAGGACTTGCCTGGTCTGGTATTCATTAGGCCCGGGTTAAGTCAAAGGTCTCACTTCCCGGGGCTTCCAGAACTCTACGAGGTGCCTCGCCTAGTCCTGTGCCCCGACGCTGTCACCTCCATTGCCAATCCCAGGTTCGGGCACTATGCCATTCCCGCCGCCACAACACTGGGAACCTCAAGCCCATTGCACACACGCG